CCATGGGATTTGTGGCTCAGAGCTCTATTCTGCACATGGGACAGAGAGCTACTCTTACATCTTTTTGTCGTTTTGGAGTTTCCAGACCACTTGCCTTATGAAAGAGTAACTACTGTCTGAGTCTGGTAGGTTTCTGCAACCTTTTCCATTTATACTATTGAGCAAACAGTGTTCTCCATCAGCAGAAATCTCACCAGTACAGATTATTCAATCCTTTCCTCTCTGCCTCTTGCAGATGTTTGATATGTCTCTGATATAGCATGCCATTTTATTATTTTATCCATTTTTGTTATGCTACAGTTTTCAATATTAAAATAAGTCAGGACAAATGACAAGAAATAACAAGAACTGCAGGTGCTGGAGTTAGAGTTAGTACAGTGTGGAGCTGGAAGAACATAGCAGGTCAGGCAGCATCAGAGGAGCAGGAAAGTCGACATTCTGAGTTTACACCCTTCATCACAGCTCCTGATGAAGGATATAAACCCAAATCATTGACTTTCCTGCTCCTCTGATGCTGCTAAGGCAAATGACAACTGATCTGAGACAGGTTAAGAAAAGGTTAGTTATTAAAATCGAATTGCTGCTCAGTGATTTTTTTTATTGTCAAACTTTCCCCTTTTCCTTTCATCAAGTAAAACCATTTCAACACTGACTCCCTGTCCCCAACCAGTTTAGTGCTGACCACTGTCAAACAGCTCCTAATGGCCTCGCACTTCAATGAAAATCCTGAGGAGTCAGAAGGTGAACTGTTAATAAACTCCCGCATCATCTCAACGCACCCAATTAACCTCCAGCCCCACCACACCTGGCACTTTTCCCTGCAACCGCAGGAAGTGCTACACCTGCCCCTACACCTCCCCTCTCACCCCCATCCCAGCCCCCAAGAAAACCTTCCACATCAAGTAGATGTTCACCTGCACATCTGTTAATGTGGTATACTGTATCCGCTGTTCCAGATGTGGGCTCCTCTACATCGGGGAAACCAACTGGAGGCTTGAGGACCGCTTTGCGGAACACCTACGCTTGGTTCGCACTAAACAACTCCACCTCCCAGTTGCGAACCATTTCAACTCCCCCTCCCATTCCTTAGATGACATGTCCATCCTGGGCCTCCTGCAGTGCCACAACGATGCCACCCAAAGGTTGCAGGAACAGCAACTCATATTCCGCTTGGGAACTCTGCAGCCCAATGGTATCAATGAGGACTTCACAAGCTTCAAAATCTCCCCTCCCCCTACTGCATCCCAAAACCAGCCCAGCTCGTCCCTGCCTCCCTAACCTGTCCTTCCTCCCACCTGTCCCCTCCTCCCACCTCAAGCCCCACCCCCATCTCCTACCTACGAGCCACATTCCACCCCCTTGACCTGTCCGTCCTCCTTGGACTGACCTATCCCCTCCCTAACTCCCCACCTACACTCACCTTTACTGGCTCCACCCCCGCCTCTTTGACCCGTCCGTCTCCTCTCTACCTATCTTCTCCTTTATCCATTTTCTATCCGCCTCCCCCTCTCTCCCTATTTATTTCAGAATCCCTTTCCCCTTCCCCATTTCTGATGAAGGGTCTTGGCCCGAAACGTCAGCCTTCCTGCTCCTTTGATGCTGCTTGGCCTGCTGTGTTCATCCAGCTCCACACTTTGTCATCTCAATTAACGAGTTAGGTGACTACTTTTCTTGCCAATCCACCACTCTTCCCTACACCTCAAGAAAGTCAGCAAAGTTAGGAATAGAGACAGGAGGCTGGCATGTTTCTGTTTTATTTTATCGCAATCAGCCTCCTACCCTGCCCCATACTCCATTCCAATGCATTTTGGGACAGGAATTTTCAGCCTTTAAGCCTGACCTAAACTCCCCAAACTGATGGACGATTGCTTCTTACTGATGAATGGAGAACTGAGCAAACTAAAATAACAGACCAGGAATCAGATGGTAGATGATAAGTAATCAACATTCCCCCCAAATCAATTTCCATAATTTCAGAAACCACTTGCACTTGAGTGGCCCAAAAGTGAAGTATGTATTAATTATCGTAGAATAATTAGCAAAACTACAATATGTAAGCTTATACAGATATCTTCTAGTGTTGATGAGTTTTGAGCAACTAAAAATTATGTTTGACATGGAAATTCCATGTAGTAAGAACATCTTTCTTTTAGTAAGATACCATTTGTATTGTTCAGCCTAAAGGGTACATATGTCAAATTACACAGTAATAGCTATTTTACAGTCATAATGCTGTTACCAAAAGCCATACTTCCAAAAATAAATAAAAGCTGTTGTATTTTGCTGCATGAATATCTTAAAAATAATGTTGAAAAATAACAGCCTGGATATTCCGAGGGTCAGATATTCCTTATTCCAACATATGTGAGAATTGCACATGAGGAGTCTGCGGAATCCCAAGTATATCACATTCTGAGGGATTTAGCTGTTAAATTGAAGATTCCACTTGTCAATTCCCACATTCCTAGAATCCTCAAAAAGTATCCATTTAAATTGGAGAATTTGGAAGGTTCTGCTTAAGTTAAGAAAACAGTTACGCAGGAAAGCTTAGACTACTAAATTTCTCGTCCAACTGCTGAGCAACAATTCACCTGATGCCCACAACCACATTCCTCAAACTCCTAACATCTCCTTAGGCCCCATTCTATTCCTGGGATCTGATACACCCCGTCACTAGATCCTGCAACCCCCTTTCTATGTATTAATCATAGAATCCCTACAGTGTGGAAACAGGCCCTTTGGCCCAACAAGTCCACACCAAACTTCAGAGTATCTCACCCAGACCCATCCCCCTTTAACCCACCTAAGCTACACATCCCTGAACACTACAGGCAATTTAGCATGGCCAATCCACTTAACCTGCACATTGTTGGACTGTGGGAGGAAACCTGGAGGAAACCCACGCAGACATGGGGGAGAATGTGCAAACTCCACACAGACAGTCGCCCAAGGCTGGAATTGAACCTGTGCCCCTGGCGCTGTGAAGCAGCAGTGCTAACCACTGTGCCACCGTGCTGCCCTGCCCCCTCCTGGGACCTGAGTCCCTCCCCACCACCAGACCTGGCCTCCATTCTCCCAAAACCCAGACCCACCACCCCTTACCTTGTTACTGGCAAACATTATCCCATCCCCCAATCCTAGTCTTCTCTTCACTGCTGCCAGGGTCCAACACCTCTTCCCCTTCCCAATAGATCTAGAATCACCTCCCCACACTGAACTAAACTCCCTTTTCATTGCTAGACCTAGCATCTCCCACCCGGCTCAACCTATCCTAGCAGGTAAGTGATAAAGTTGTTCCCTTTGTGCTCTGGCTCCCAACCCAAATGACCTCCTTGCACCTGGAATACTATCCACCTAGCACCCTTTCCCCTACCCACCAGGCACTCTATTTCCTGACACACTACTACCTGCCACCTTATTCACCTGGTAAGTTAAATACTTAGCACCTTACCACCTGGCAGTTGATACTTCAGCACCCTAAACTCACTTAACCTTTCACGTGTCTTTTCAAAGTGGCTCTGACTGTTGGATTTTTAAATCACAATACAACAAATACTGCTGTGAAAAAGGAAGAACGGTTTGCCTTCCCCCAACTGTTCTACACTACCGGGGAACTTGTCAGAATGAAACTATGGCCCTGCGTTTCTGAAGGAGGCCTAATCAAAGCATCCTGTCAGAAGTGCAAAACTCTTTCATTATGAAAAAGAAGGAGCAAAATCTATGTATGATTGCCACTGCTTGGAAAATTGGATCCAATTTGCTTTTGTGCTGAATTTGGTTCTTAACATAGCAACAATTCTGTTTGTCATTGATCTCAAAGGAAGCAGACTAAAAAGCCTAGTGAACTCTATGGTTCAGCCAATCCTGTTCCCTAGGGAACTTTATATCTGGCACAAGATCAAGGGGATTACAGTATACAGCACTGATGGCAGCATATAAAATAAGCTATCAACAGTGTTGATGTGTGTTCACAGACAGCAAACCAGAAAGGTAAAAGTGCTAAATTAATTGAATTTTAATTTAAAACTTTGATTGATAAATAAGTGATTGTGACTGAATTAAGGTAGAAACTCAATGAAGACAAACTTAAAATTAATATTCATTTACTTGGATTGCTTATTAAAATGTAAAAAAAACTAACGTTCTGCAAGGACATTTAGCAGCAATGACAAAGTTTTAAAAAAATTAAAAACACAATTGCACATTTCAACATGGTCTAATCTTTTCAAAGGTTTTCACTATGTGACTATCAGTATTAGTGTCAATTCAAAAGGTTTCTCATATTGAATCCCAGTGGGATGGTCGGTATGGGGCATTTCAACATAACACCCTCTAGGAATTATAGAGTTCCAAGCAAATTTTTTGTGTTATTCTGCACATATATTCACTCCCAGATTTGCTGTTACTCTCAGTGGAACAGTAACAGAAAACATTGGCAGTTTATGCACCACAGATTCAGAGCATGTATGATTAATATGAACCTAATACTAATGACCAATTGGCCACTGTATTAAACATCTGATGTTTTCCTTCACTACATTCTGGAACAATAACTGCAATTTAGATTCATATAGTATCTCTAGCATTGAGAGTATCTCAAGGCACTTTACTGTGAAAGGAGGAAGAAAACTTAAAGTACTAAGAAAATGAATTGTAAGAGAGAGAGGACATGACTGAAAGTTAGGTTGGTGAAATGGCTTTTGAAAAGGTATATTTTCACTTGATGAGTTTATTAAGGTATAGTCATTGCTAAGATGCAAGTCACCTCAAGCAGCAGGAGAAAAGAGACTGGTAATGTACTCTGTCCAGTCAGCAATAAATCTAGTTACGATTTTAAGACACCAATTTTGTGAAGAAACACTTTGTTAGAAAGTGCATTTTCTTTTCATTACTGCTCAGTAAAATGAATAAAACAATTTATACCTTAGAGCTCTCGATCAATATATTAAAAAAATTAAAAACTAGGCTTAGAAGCTATAGTGACAACAATATCAAATTACCTTGGAACAATGCCATGTTCTTCTCTGGATCCATTATTTTTGTTTAAGTGTCAGGATTTCTCTGCAAACACAGCTGAATTGAGCTTGCATTTTAATTATGTTGAGGGTCTATTTAAAGATTTATCCATCTTAACTGCATGACAATGCTATATTGAGCTGACAAAGAAATTAATTTAATTTATATTGCACCTTATTAAAGTCTCAGAGCATCAGTATTGGTTAATCACATGAAGTCCTCTAACTGCACTCCTTGATCTGAAGGGTTAGTAAGATTGACAGCTGCATAGAATTGACTATATCATTGTAATCTGACATTGCCATGCAACAAGATTTTCTCACTTTACTTGAAGTAGCTTCTGTGTACAATAAGGTGAAAATCTAGTAAATTAACTATCAATTTTCTGACAATGTTGATAACTCAGTGATCAAATGCTGCTATGCTTGTGGAAATACTGAATACTTGCAAAACTGGATTAACAGACAGTTCTTTGTTATGCAGCATTACATTACTTCCACAACAAATATTTATAGAAAACACAACACAGTACGGAGCTAGGGGAACACAGCAGTCAGGCAGCATCAGAGGAGCAGAAAAGTTGACGTTTCAGGTCGGGACAGGTATAACAAGTATGGCAGACCTGCCTACTGGAACTGAATTAAAAACAGAAATTGCTGGAAAATCTCAGCAGGTCTGGCAGCATCTGCAGATAGAAATCAGAGTCAACATTTCGAGTCCAGTGACTGTTCTTTCGAACAGGTGGAAGAAAAAGAATGATTTTTATACAGAAGAATGGGTGGGAGGACAGGGGAGAGTAAACAATATGTGGAGATAGAGCCCAAAAAGAGAGAAAAACAGTTGGACAGACAAAGCAGTGGGTAAAGGTCAATTGGGAGGAATGAATAGCTGCTAATGAAGACAGTAAGTGGCTTACAATATTGCATGGTATCTACATACCTGCTAATTAGCAATTTTAATATATAATAGTGCTGCTTAACCAGTGCACACAAATAAATAAATTTCAGTCTATTTCCTCCAATGGTTTGCAATTTTAAAATATATTTCATCAAACCTCTATATAACACTGACTAATGTATTTTGTGACAACACCTAGTCAAAAATTGGAGATGTTATAATTGTGTGGTTTCTTCATTTTAGTCCCTATGATAGAGTTGTGATATTTTTGACAAATATTAAAGATCTAAAAGCTCAATATCAGATAAAAGCCTTGAAATTAGTTTATACATCAGGAGCATAAGAATGGTGCTTATAACTGAGTGGTATTTTAAAATAATCCCTCAAAGTGTTTGTGACAGACAATCTAGCCTCTTTGTTTTTTTTCTTTCAAAGGACGATGCATCAATTTGACTTGGGTCTGTGATGGGGAAAGTGACTGTGAAGATCACTCAGATGAAGAAAACTGTGGAACATTTGGTTGCAAGCCACCAACCTATCCTTGTGCTGGAAATACATCAATTTGCCTTTTGTTGGACAAGTTCTGCAATGGGAAAGAAGAATGTCCAAATGGTGCCGATGAGAGCGCACTTTGTGGTAGGCTACTTGTATTTGAAATGAGAGTATGTGCTGCTGAGGATACCAAAGATATTTTCCAATATTTTCTTCGAAGGGAAAAAAATATTTTAATACCAGCTCTGAGCAGCAAAGCTGGATGTCAGCTTGCAGACTGTTTCCAGAGTCAAGCAGTACTTTTGATGCCTGTGTTGACTCATAACACCCGAAAAGTCAATGTTCATTGTGTATTGCATTAGTACGTGAATTTATTGTCAATTTAAGGACAGCTTCATGTTTAAAATCTTCATGCAAATGGTAGCTCAGAAGGGAAAATTTACCCTGATACACAGACTGCGATTGTGTTCAATTCTCAGACTTCAGTCCAGTCTACACAATGAACTTAAAAGCTTCTGTCCTTGATAGCTGTAAGGATTTTACATAAAATGAGAATAGAATACCTCCATTCTTGTCTTGATATACATGACTGGAAATGTAAATTTGACTCTAATTTGGCAATCTGTCTTCAACAGTTCACAAGGCTTCATGTCACCTCAGTGCAAGGAGGATGGCCCTTCTTAGTTCTGCCAAGGCCACATTATTACAGGGGATAGGTGGAGCTTTATACAATGCTGATTATAGCATAGCTGCAATGGAGAAAGCAGGCAATTTAATGTATTATGTAGAGAACGCTTTGTCAGATGTGGATAAAGCCACACAAGAATGGCATTGATAAAGAAACAGTCTTGCCTAACTAGCAGATATACATACATCCTTCAGGGAAGAAAGTAATTGCTGAACTGTATGACTCGAACACTAAACCAGAAAATGCATAACTTTCAGACGAGGTTCAGATTGTCTGATGTCATGAACAATAGGGATTGTTTAATAGATGTATTTTTTTAAAAGCCTGCAATTATGTGAACTAAGTTCAAAGCCAAATTTAAAAATACAAATTTATTGCTTAACCGAGGTTTGTATTTGTAGCAGGCTAGATTTAACATTAAATAAAAACCAAAAGAACTGTGGATGCTGTTAATCAGGAACAAAAACAAAGTTGCTGGAAAAGCTCAGCAGGTCTGGCAGCATCTGTGAAGGAGAAAACAGAGTTAACGTTTCGGGTCCGGTGGGGGATTTAGGATGTGGAACAGAGAATTAGAAGTGAGGGTCGGCTGTTGGCTTTCAGTAGCTCCCAGAAAATGGTGTTAGTTGACCCTCACCAACACCAGGTCCCTCAATCAGGCACTGAAAGCCTTATACCAAGGGACCCCCTCTTCCTCGTCGGCCACCGGAAAATCCAACACAGCATCAACTGATGAGAGAAGTGCTGAATAACTTCCAATTAATTCCTGAGCCACCACTTAAATTCCAGTGGGCTCAGGGGTAAATGATGTTAATTTATATCCTATTTTCTGTTATTGTAAAAACATACTTTATTCATTAAAAATCTTTATGTTCGTACACAAGTACTAAAGCAATTCTGTACAGTCTTTGCCTATCAAGAAAAACAAACATTGGATCTGACATTCCCTGCTGTTGCAAAAGCCAAAGGCATTTTTTACATATGTAAGAAAACAACGTGAAGAGCTGGAGGAACACAGCAGGCCAAGCAGCATCAGAGGAGCAGGAAAGCTGACATTTCGGGTCTAGACCCTTCTTCAGAAATGGGGAAGGGGAAGGGGATTCTGAAATAAACAGGGAGAGAGGGGGAGGCGGATAGAAGATGGATAAAGGAGAAGATAGGTGGAGAGGAGACAGACAGTTCAAAGAAGAGGGGGTGGAGCCAGTAAAGGTGAGTGTAGGTGGGGAGTTAGGGAGGGGATAGGTCAGTCCAAGGAGGACGGACAGTTCAAGGGGGCCGGATGAGGCTGGTAGGTAGGAGATGGGGGTGGGGCTTGACGTGGGAGGAGGGGATAGGTGGGAGGAAGGACAGGTTAGGGAGGCGGGGACAAGCTGGGCTGGTTTTGGGATGTGGTTGGGGGAGGGGAGATTTTGAAGCTTGTGAAGTCCACATTGATACCATTGGGCTGCAGGGTTCCCAAGCAAAATATGAGTTGCTGTTCCTGCAACCTTCGGGTGGCATCGTTGTGGCACTGCAGGAGGCCCAGGATGGACATGTTGTCTAAGGAGTGGGAGGGGGAGTTGAAATTGTTCGCGACTGGGAGGTGTAGTTGTTTGTTGCGAACCGAGCGTAGGTGTTCCACGAAGCAGTCCCCAAGCCTCCACTTGGTTTCCCCGATGTAGAGGAGGCCACATCTGGAACAGCGGATGCAGTATACCACATTAGCAGATGTGCAGGTGAACATCTACTTGATGTGGAAGGTCTTCTTGGGGCCTGGGATGGGGTTGAGGGGGGAAGGTGTAGGGGCAGGTGTAGCACTTGCTGCGGTTGCAGGGAAAAATGCAAGGTGTGGTGGGGCTGGTGGGGAGTGTTGAGTGGACGAGGGAATCACGGAGAGATTGGTCCCTCCGGAAGACAGATAAGGGTGGGAAGGGAAAAATGTCTTCGGTGGTGGGGTCGGATTGCAGATGGCGGAAGTGCCGGAGGATGATGCGTTGGATCCGGAGGTTGGTGGGGTGGTACGTGAGGACGAGGGGGATTCTGTTTTGGTTGTTATTGCGGAGAGCGGGTGTGAGGGATGAGTTGCGGGAAATGCGGGAGACACGGTCGAGGACGATTTCGACCACTGCGGGGGAGAAGTTGCGGTCCTTGAAAAACGAGGACATCTGGGATGTCCGGGAGTGTAATACCTCATCCCGGGAGCAGATTCGGTGGAGGCGAAGGAATTGGGAATAGGGGATGGGATTTTTGCAGGAAGGTGGGTGAGAGGAGGTGTATTCTAGGCAGTTATGGGAGTTGGTGGGCTTGAAATGGATATCGGTTTCCAGGTGGTTGCCAGAGATGGTAACAGAGAGGTACAGGAAGGAGAGAGAGGTGTCAGAGATGGTCCAGGTGAACTTAAGCTTGGGGCGGAAGGCGTTAGTGAAGTGGATGAACTGTTCGAGCTCCTCATGGGAGCATGAGGCGGCGCCGATACAGTCATCGATGTAACGGAGGAAGAGGTGGGGGATAGGGCCAGTATAGCTTCGGAAGAGTATGTGAGACATTATTTGCACACATTTGAGGCAATGAGAGTCTGAAGACTGAACAGAACCCCACTGTACTTTGGCAGAAAGACCTTAGACGGAAAGTAAGTTTCTCTCTCCAACTTAACTCTGAGAGGCTTCCCACCACAGGGAGATTAACCATTGGATGCAAGGCTTCCCAGCCCCTGTGGTGAGACTGTTGGGAAAATAGGGTGAGCAGAAATGAAATTCTTAATGCCAAGAACAAAAAGTTCATTTAATTTTTGAAAGGCAAGACGAGAATTGCTAATGAACAGCAAGAGGCCTATTTGCAACAATTTGCATGTGTTAACAACTCATTATTACCTAATCTCACCTCATTTAGATGTCGGTTCTCATTTTCCCATAGGCTGGATAGAAACTAGATAGCAACGAGATTCCCAATGTGAAAGTCCGAGCAGGAATCTGGCAACTTCAGCTCACTGCTTACTCCTGGGCCAAAGGCACCAATATTTCAGGGTACGCTCAATGGGCACTGACTGGCCTCACACCCCATTCACAGATATTGGAATTAGACATGTAACAGCCTCTCCTTATCCTTATGCACAACTTAGATCCCTGTACAAATCAGTTCTGCACTTCAATGCTACACTTTAGAACACATGCATCTTTAATTGTAATGCTGCTGCTAGAAAACTTTGCACAAAAGGGACATGCACCTATCTCATGGACTGAAGCAGGTTACAAGCTCCACGCATAAATTCCTTCTTTCGTCCTTGAGTAGACCTTCATGTATTCTCGCTTCCCTCTTACTTCTATATACACCTTGGGATTTTTCTTAATCCTGTTTGCCAAAGATGTTTCATAGCACCTTTTAGCCCTTATAATTGCTTGTTTGGCTTGTTTCCTGCTATCTTTGTATTTTTGAGGACTCTTTCAGTCTTCAATTTCCAAAACCTTATATGTGCCTCCTTTTTCTTTTTGACTCAATGCTCAATTTCTTGTCTCATCCAAGGTTCCTGAATTTCTGAATATTTGGAAGTGTATCGTAAAATCGGGCAAAGTCAGCATAGTTTCATCATGGGGAGGTCATGCATAACAAATCTGCTAGAATTCTTTGAGGAAGTAACGAGCAGGGTAGACCAAGGAGAGCCAATGGATGTTATCTACCTGGACTTCAAGAAGGCCTTTGATAAGGTGCCACACAGGAGGCTGCTGAGTAAGATAAGGGCCCATTGTGTTAGAGGCAAGGTGCCAGCATGGATAGAAGATTGGCTGCCTGGCAGAAAGCAGAGCGTGGGGATAAAAGGGTCTTTCTCAGAATGGCAGCCAGTGACAAGTGGAGTTCCACAAGAGTCAGTGCTGGGACCACAACTTTTCACTTTGTACATTAATGATCTAGATAAAGGAACTGTGGGCATTCTGGCTAAGTTTGCAGACGATACAAAGATAGGTGTAGGAACAGGTAATATTGAGGAGGCGGGGAGGCTGCAGAAGGATTTGGAAAGGTTTGGAGAGTGGGAAAAGTGGCAGATGGAGTATAACGTGGGAAAGTGTGAGGTCATGCACTTTGGTAAGAATAAAAGTGTGGACTATTTTCTAAATGGGGAGAAAATTCAGAAGTCTGAAGTGCAAAGAGACTTGGGAGTTCTAGTCCAGGATTCTCTCAAGATAAACTTTCAGGTTGAGTCAGTGTCAGGAAGGCAAATGCAATGTTGGCATTTATTTTGAGAGGACTTGAATACAAAAGCAGCGATGTACTACTGAGGCTTTATAAGGCTCTGGTCAGGCCACATTTGGAGTATTGTGTGCAGTTTTGGGCCCCATATCTCAGGAAGGATGTACTGGCCCTGGAGTGGGTTCAGAGGAGGTTCATGACAGTGGTCCCAGGAATGGAAAGCTTAACATATGAAGAATGTTTGAGGACTCTGGGACGATACTCATTGGAGTTTAGAAGGATGAGGGGAGACCTAATT